CCAGCCGGAACCTCAGCACCGACCGGTCGTCGGTCCTCGTCAACACCCTGCCCGAGCTGAATGCCATGACCGTGCGGTACGCGGCGCCGGAGGTGATCGGCGCCTTCCAGCGGGGCATTTCGCTGGACCGGGCGGCCCTGCTGCCGGCGGACATCTTCAGCGCGGCGGTCATGCTCTGGGAGTGCCTCGCACGCGACAGGCCCTGGACAGGTACTGGCGCTTTGCCCTCGCGGGCACCTTTGGCCCATGGCTTGCGCGCGGCTCCATCCCCACCTTCTTTGGCACTGATCTGTTGCTCCCTTCCCTTGCTCCCCGCGTGCGCTTCCTGTCGCACCCTCCAGACTTGGACTTCGGCGACATCCGGGCCTCCGTGCTGGCCGGCCATCGGCCCAGCATGGAGGTCCTGGTGCTGCCCGGCCGGTGTTTCGCCAACGCGCCGGACCTGTTGGAGGCTGCTTGGCAGGCGGACTTCGAGCGCCGGCCCACCGCCGGGCTTTTCCGCCAGCGGTGCGCCGCATTCTACTTGGCGGCTGGCGGGCTGGCCCGGCCAGTGCCCTAGATGCATCGGGCCTGTCCCCTCTCGGGCGATGCGCGCCGGACGGCACGGCTGCACATGCGGCCGCGCCGGCGACCGGGGCACCCAGGGGCGGCCTGCTCGGGGGAGAAGAGCGCGCCCCGGCCAGAGGCAGGCATGCGGGCGGGAAATCCCCGCATCACGCACAGGCAGGCAAGCAAGCAGGGCTCGCCCTGTCGGATCCCCACCCCCCGTTTCGGACGCTCCAATACCAAGCCATCCGCCACTACACACACACACACACACACACACACACACACACACACACATGCAGATGCGAATGCATATTTACACCAATACACCCGCAGACACGCCAACATGCCGGACCGCGACCCATGTCCGCTCTGTTGCCCTCGCGCCCACGGGGGCATCTGTCGGCTGCCGGCGCCGCCGCAAAAGAGGCCTCTCAACAAGCGCGCCACGGCCCCCGCCGCTCACACGCTGCATGGCCACGCGCCCGCCCGGGACCGGCACGCTTCGGGACCCCGCCCTCGACCGGCTCTGCCACTGCTCCTGCTCGCGGATGGCCGACCATGCCGCCGCCTGCGCCCGGAACCAGGCCGCCCCGGCCGGCCCCCGGTCGGCATGGAGCACCCTTGAGCGCGTGGCCCGGCGCCGGTGGCCCCCTCCAACGACCGACGGTGGGCACCCCCCCCCCCCCCGGGGCGGCATCCGGCATCCGCCCGGGCAAGGGCCAGCACCGGCCGAGCCACGAGGGCCGGGAAGGTGCATCCGGTCCAAGCCCCGGGGGAAATGCCCCACATGCGTTGGAGACCACGCGATGTGCCCCTGCTGTTGTAGCAGGCTTCGCACGGGCCAAGCCCAAGCCCAGTGCGTGAAGTTGGACGAAGGGCTCCTGTGCGATCGGCCACCCAGTCAGTAAGTTCTTGGCATGGAGAGAGAGAGAGAGGGGGCGCATGCCAGCCAGTGGCCCATGGTCTCCTGCTTCCAGGTGAGTCGGCAACTCGGTCCGATGCGAGGCAGTGCCAAGCAAGAGGCAAAAGAACTCGGACGTCAAATGGGGCCCGAGAGGAAGCCCAAGAGCAGGCGCCCGCCGGCCTGGGCCGGTGCTGCGGCCATACTTTCGTACACCCTCCGACACACAGCCGCCGAGGTCTTCTCTCGCTCTCGGTGGAAGGGAGCCCTTGCCCTTTGACCTGCAGGCGCCGGTCGAGGGGCAAATCCGAGGACCCGCCCACTCGCACATCTCCCCCCTTCCCGCTTCGTCGAGCACCTTTTGCCGCCCGACCTCTCGCGGCCGCCTGGCCGCTGTCCTACCCCGCAATCCGTTCTTTGGAATGCTATTCCTTACGACGGCCATCCCCGTGACGCGTCACGCGTGGGAAGGCTCTCACATGCTGCTCATCCGTCGGCTACATGGAGCTTCCGCCACAATGCCCCGGAGCGGCGCGCCTTGCGCATGATCAGCTCGTGTGACGCTTGAAGTACCCCCGCCCGCCATTATCCACCAGTCCCGGGCGTTTCAGGGAGATTTCCCCCCCGCGCTCGGTGCGCCTCCCTCGGCCAATAAGCACCACATTTTTACTCACACAAATGATACAACAGTTTTCAGCCGCACACCTGCCACGGGCTTTCCCCCGCCGGCCTGGGGGGCGGGGGGGGGGGGTGCGCAACACGGCGCGGCCGTGTGGCGATCTACCCGCGCCTCGGGCTGGGAAGATCTACCGACGGGGCAGGGCGCCCCCCGGTCGGCCTGCTTTTTCCCAAGGCACACCCTTGGACGCGACCCCAGCCCATGGCCACCCCCCACTCCCCCCCCCCCCCCTCACTCGCTCGCAAGTGCCGCAGGTAGACTCGCTTTCTTGTGCTCCAGCCCCATCATCCCCCTGGATCGCCCTCTGCCATGGAGCTGTCCGCCGGCCGGCGGCCCAGACACCAGCGGGCCCAGATGCCGCCGCCTGCTGGCCGACCACTGCCGCTGCCGCTGCCGCTGCCGCTGCCGCTGCTGCCGCTGCTACTGCTGGTGATGATGCTGCTGGCCGATGTTCCCGGATTGCTATCGGCCGAGCTTCCGCTCTATGCAGGCCACCATCCCCTGATGGACATCCAAAGGCCCATGTCGGCCTTCACCCCCGCCGGCATGCCCACCCACTGGATCGGCCCCGACGGCAGCCGGTCCTACTCGCTCTATCAGCAGCAGCTGTGGCTGTCTATCAGCCGGGAAATTCGCACCGGCCTGTTCATCCCCCCGGAGCACTACCTCCAGGTGTCCAGC